TGTCTTAATTTTGCATTCGTTTTTGTACATGGAATTTTTTAATAGTACTTTTTTCTTTCTGGATTACAAATGCACAATGTATTATTTGTATACACTTCTCCACAGAGGCCCAGTTCATGTATCGGAGGAGTGAAGCCCCCCGCTTGTCTTCCTTCATTGAGGAGTCAAAGAAAGAGTCCATAGAAGAGGAGGATGAGTATGACTATGATGATCATGAAGACCACGACCACTCCCTGTCTGACTCCCAAACCTTCCAGTGGCCTCGGCTCAGTGATCAGAATGAAGGTACTTTAAACACAGTCACAGTATCTTCAAGGCTATATTGCTACTACTAGTATTATTATTAGGGTTGTGTACATGAACAATTTTTTTCATACAGGTACACAAGTTTATGCATAGGTCCAGACCTATACCTGTACTTAAACAAGTTTGGGTTCTATTCATCTGTTATACATCTATTCATCAGGTATAGATATTAGGTCATACCAGGTACATTAGCCCTAGTAGTGATATTTGAAATACAACAGTTTTGTGTTGTAACTGTATTTGCAGCACGGTTACGGTCCTGTCTGGAAGAGATCCACAGTGTGATAGGTGACAGTGTTCCACAGCACATCCTGGTAGACACCGTCATGAAGTGTGACTTTGACCTGGAGAAGGCCCTGGATGCTGTGTTGTCACTACAGGTGCATCAGTTCTTCTGACATTAGATTTGTGGACTTTTATATGGCAACTAGTGTAACGATCCAATCCCAGGGTTTATGGAATGAGCAGAAGAGACGAGTGGAGTACTGTAGATCTGTATGTATTCTTCAGAACATGTGGGTAACTCTAACTCAACTGGATATAACTGGTTCCTAGTGGACTTGCCTACTCGCCACCGGGGGTGGCAGGTTATACCATTCCCATAGGGGGAAACTCTATGGTTCAGCATATTAGATCCTTACACTCTTCCCCCCTACAACAAGTAAAACTTCTCCTGAAGTTTACAGATATAACAATGTATATAAATATACAATGTATAAGTATAATAGTAGTCCAACATAACAAAATGCAACGGGGAACAGTCCGTATCCGTAACAGTACGAATAAAACTACTGAATAAAGCTTAACTTGTATTAAAGCTGTCATCACAATAATAAGTAACTTACATGTATCTGAAGTTTGACTTACACTAAAGTTTACCAATATCATGTAAACATATCAGAGCATAAACATAATTAAAAAAAATAGTTCTATATAGTGTAACGTTACATTTGACAGATCTAGATAAAAGGTATAACGGTATTTGACAGGGAAGATACACAGATTAAAAAGAAAATCTGTGTAAGTTCTAGACGGTTTGTCTTCAACCTCTGTCAAAGTTAACTTCCTGGCGAAGCAGGTTTTCCGTGTCCCAATCTAAATACTAGTAGATCGTCAATGCAACAGTCTGATGGGAGAGTTCACAGCTGTAGTAGGTTATCTAGAGTTCTGTGACATAGTCCGCAAGTCGCGACGGTCTAGTTACTCGTCGACCACGCCGTGTAGCACGTTGCGTAGTGTCTGTTGTGGCCGTTGCTGGTTGAGAAGTTTGCTCATCCGGACAGTCGCGATCTGGCTGTGCCGTCGGCGTCTTGGCGACAGGTTCTGCCTGTGGTGTATAGCAGGGTTTCAACCTGTTATAATGCACAGTTTGTTTGCGGTTAGTCTGGGTGTTCTTGATCGTGTACGTGACACCTGGTTCTCCATCGGAGAGTATTCGTTCCACGACGACAAACGGGCCTTTCCATCGGGGTCTGAGTTTCCGCCGTTGTGTCGTAGGATCATTCAGCCACACTTTGTCGCCTGCCTTGTATGGTTTGTGGGACGAAGTGAAGTCGTATGCAGCTTTCTGGCGACTGCTCGCTCGCTGTGTGTTTTGTCTCACGCGGGCGAAGGCGGCGCGGAGGCTGCTTTTCAGGCTTCTGGCGTATGACGTGGTCGAATTCGTGGGGGTATGTGGTCTCGCGTCGAAGATCACGTCGGCGGGCAGATTTGCTTCCCTCCCATGTACGAGGTAGAAGGGAGTGTAGCCAGTAGATGCGTGTACGGACGTATTGTACGCCAATAGGATGTGCGGCAGGTGGTCGTCCCAGTCGTCGCCGGTAGACGAGACATATTTGGAAAGCATTGACTTTAACGTTCTATTAAAACGTTCCACGAGTCCGTCCCCTTGGGGGTGATACGGTGTTGTTCGGCTTTTAGCAATACCGAGCGTCGTGTACAGCTCTCTCATAGTCTCCGCCTCGAATTGTCGACCCTGGTCTGAGTGTAGCGAGGAAGGAATACCGTGTTCTCTGACATAGTGGGTAAAGATGGCCTGTGCTACTGTGGACGCGTCTTGGCGTGGAATAGCGTAGGCGTTAACGTACTTCGTAAAGAAATCTTGTAGTACGAGGCAGTATCGATTGCCCTTCTTAGACTTGGGCAGTTCGGTCAGGTCCATGGCAACCTTCTCGAATGGTTGATTGGTACGGATCGGCTTCAGGGGTGCACGGGCCGAAGGTGTTGGCGCTGTTCGCGTGGCACACTCAGGGCAAGCCCGACACCATCTCTTGATTTCCTGGGTCATGCCCGGCCAATAGAAGCGGACATATACGCGTCGTAACGTCTTCGCGATACCCAAGTGTCCAGCAAACGGGCCGTTATGGAGCTCTCGCATGATGGAGGGCACTAGACTCTTCGGGGCTACCCGCTGGAAGATCATTTGGCAGTTCGCGTTGGGTTTCCACCGTCGGTAGAGGACGCCGCGTTTGACTACGAGCGAATGGTACTGGTCCCACAGGGCTTTCAGAAATCGGCCTCGCTGGCTGATGCTACTCAATGGAGGTTTGCCCTGGCGGCGTTGTTTCCATCGGAGAACTTCTGCAATGTCCCGATCTGCTTCCTGTGCCAACCGCACGTTATCGGGTGACACGGCGTCATCTGCCGAATCTGTTGGTGGGGGTGGCGGTGATGCATCGGGTGGGTTGCTCTGTTGCACGGAGTGTTGTTCGACCGGAGGTGGTTGGTCGACAGGGACCGCAGTATCCGAAGGTTCTCCCCGTGGGGTTGGTGGCCGTGCGGACGAGTGTTTGGCGGACGATATTGGTGGTTGGTCGACGCTGGCTACTGAAGGTGGTAGTCGTGAAAGGGCGTCAGCATTAGTGTGAGCTTTTCCGGCTCGGTAGGTTATGTCAAACTCGTACGTGGAGAGTTCCAGAGCCCATCTACTGCGACGCCCGGTTGGGTCGTTCGTGGTGAGCTTATCGGACCACCCTAGCAGAGGTTTTGTGGTCTGTCAGGATCGTGAAGCGTCGTCCCGCAAGGTAGGTGCGAAAGTGGCGGACACTCCATACGACAGCCCACATTTCCCGGTCGAACGTCGCCCATCGTCTCTCTTGAGAACTGAGTGTACGACTGGCGTAAGCCACCACTTGTTCGCCTTGGTCAGTGGTTTGAGACAGCACTGCTCCAATAGCGGCATCTGACGCATCCGTGTGTAGTGTAAACGGTCGGCTAAAGTCTGGGTAAGCCAGAACCGGAGGGGACGTCAACGCGTCGCGTAAAGTGTCAAATGCTGTCTGACATTCTATGGACCACGAGAAGGGGTTGCCCTTTCT